GGTGTTTTGCTGTTATTGTTATTATTATCGTTATTGCTGTTACTGTGGTTTTGTCTTCTACTTTCCTGTTTGCTTTTTTGCATAGCCAACGATCTGGATTTGAATCTGAATGGGAATCAGAAATAGTGTGATAAAAGGGAGGAAAAGAGAGGTCAAAGTAGGAGTAAGGATGATATAACATGGCTATGAATTTTAAAACGATAACAGTAGAAAAATAAGAATAAAAAAAATAATAATAAATAAATATATATATACGCATACAGGCAAATTTATATTTAGTAATTTATGTGAAGCTTGATACATAACTGGGGGAAAATATATGCGCACAAAATAATGTTTAAATAGATATGTGAAACTAATAACATAACTAGAAAAGTTTGGGAAATAAGTTATGTTCTTCCAAAAATATTCCCAAGCTTCTATAATTTTGAAACACGGCCTACATTTTTCTACCATAACATAATCCATCCCTATCAGGCCAACGACCAAGCAACGTACATTCCAACGGACGACCTGCTCGCCGAGAGAAGCAGCGAAAGGGAAAAGCCAAAGAGATTTTCAAAACACGACAAACTCTGCATCGCTCGTGACGTCACTACTCTGTCAAAAATCTGTAACCTCGGAGAAGGAACGACTTCCCTGACGTCACTCGCCATAGCCACGCCTCCCCCAAGTGTAAACTCAACTTATATGTTCGGGCTGAATACACACAGTGTGGAAGTGTATACATATAGTTTATTTTCCGGGAGTGAATTGTGTGTCACGGTTGCGAGGACGTGTCAATATCATCGAAGGCGTGGTTCTTAAACATTTATTTCCCACCCACCCCCTTTTTTTTGGGGGGGGGGGGTTTCTTCTCTTCTTTTCGTTTTTTTTTCTTTTTCTTCTCTTCTTTTTCATTTTCTTCTTCCTCTCTTCTTCTCTTTTCTCTGTTTCCTCTTTTATTTTTCTTTAACTTTTTTTTTATCTTTTTCCTCTCTTCCTTTTCTTTTTTTCTTTTTTCTCTCCTATTTTTCTCTATCTCCCTCGTTATCGCTTTCCGGTGATTCCTCGGCTTTCGTAGGATCTAGGTGCTTTTATTATTTGAGGTTAGTATTTTTAAACTCAAGATTACTTATCAAGTTAATTTGCAATATTAGATTAACCATCTGATGTTAATTTTCTGTGATGGTTTCTTTTTAGTCTGTTGATTTTTTTTCTTTCTTGTGTTTCTTTCATCTCCCCCCCCCCCCCTCTCTCTCTCTCTCTCTCTCTCTCTCTCTCTCTCTCTGTCTCTCTTCCCCTCCATCTCTCTCTTCATCGCCCCCCCCCTTTCTCTCTCCTTTATTCTTCTTTCCTCTCCACTTCCTTTGCATTTCCCCATCGCCTTTTGTTCTAACTTCCCTTCCCTTGTCTCTTTTCATTCACCTCCCTCTTCCTCTCTCCTTCGTGCTTTCATTCCCCTCCCCTTCCTCCACCCTCTCTTTCTCCTTTGATTTTCTTCTTCTCTCCGTTTCCCTTTCTCATCCCTTCCCTCTTCTCCTCCCCTTCTCTCTTCCCCACCTTCGTCAGATTCCTCTTCCCTTATCGTTTTCCTTCCTTCTCTCTCTTTTCCTTTCACTTTCCCATTCTCTTTCTTCCTTTTCCATTTCTCCTCTCCTCCTCTCCCTCTTCACCTTTCCCCTTCCCTTCTCTTTCTCCTTCTTCCCCTCCCATTTTCCTCTTCCTTTCTTTCACTTTTCTTCTATTTCTTCCTCTTTCTTCTCCTCCCCTCTTCCCTCTTCCCCTTTTCCTTTCTCCCCCCTTTCCTTTTCCCCTCCCTTTCTTCCTCTCTCTTCCTCTTCCCTCTCCCTTTCTATCCCCATTTCTTCTCTTACTCCCTCTTTCTCCCCCCCCCCCCCAAAGAAAACAGAGACGCGATGTGTTGTTTCCACCACAGAAGTTTCAAAGGTCGTTAAGGGCCGTTTCTCCGTCATAAACGAATTACAAACAAACCTTTTGGAAAACCAGCAGGGTCGTAGGGCGGAGCACTGTCTCGCTTTTATTATGTGGGTGTTTGTTGGATGCAGGTGAGGGGGGCGGGGGCGTGCGGATGCGGATATTTGGGGAAGGAAAGCGTCTGAGAATTGTGAATATATAGTTTGTGGAAGAAGGGAGTTTGGGGGTGGGTGGTTATGTATATTAAGGTATTGGTGTTCTTTTTTTTTTGTTTTGTTTTCATCTCTCTATTTCTGTCTTTGTCTCTTTCTCTTTATTTTTTTTCTCTCTCTTTTTCTTCTGTCTCTCTCTCTCTCTCTCTCTCTCTCTCTCTCTCTCTGTCTCTCTCTCTCTCTCTGTCTCTCTCTCTCTCTGTCTCTCTCTCTATCACTGTCTCTCTCTCTCTCTCTTTCCTTTTTTCTTTCTGTATTAGCCTACTGAGTTTTCTTCCCTCTAATAGACGACCTGTTTGACTCGCATCGAAAACTGCTTCTCTGTTTTCAGCCCCATAAGTTTCCTCCTTGTTTAACAAACATGAAAATCTTTTCTTGGAAATTACGATATACACAGCCTCTACACATGGACCTGGGGGGCAGGTCCTCCCACGCGGGTGTTGGGGTCATCATTAGCCAAAAGAGGCGACAACACAGGGCCTTCTGTCTCATGGGAGTCCTTAGCTTTGAAACTGGATATAAACAACATAAAACTGCCTTCCGGACAGGCCAAAGATTTCTCGAGGCTGACGCGAAGGGGCGGATACGAAAACGCCGTTTGACTCATCCATTTAGGTGAGTGAGGGACCAATCCCACGGTGTTTATTTGACCAGGCTTTTATGATAGCGAAGTCCCCGAGAATGGCCGTCTTGTATCAACAGATGAATTGGGCAGACCATGCTCTTGCTCTCTCCCCTCTCCTCTCTTTATTCCCCCTTCTTTTCCTTCCCCTTCCTGGCCTCCTCTCTCCCCTTTCCCTCTCCCTACCCCCTCCCCCTTTTTATTCTTGTAGGCTGCCTTCTCTCTCATCTTCGCACTACTTTTGTGTATTTTATCTAACCCCGGGGCACCCCTTTCGTCTTCATACTTGTCGTGTGGCTGCTGAGTCAAGATCAACACGGCGGGGTGATCTACGCCCCCTTACCCCCCTCCTCCCCCTCTCCCCCTTCCTCCCCCACATCACACCTTTTCCTCTCCACTCCCTTCCTTTAGCCTGCGCCTTATTCGTCTCACACTTTGCTGACTTCCTCGTCCGTCAATCATCGAGCTTCATCCTGAAACCTCATCTTTCTCGTTGCGTTTTATCCTAATGCTTTTAATCTCGAGTCGTATTCTTTAAAATGTAATTTTCTTCCGATAATTCCTCCATGTTTAACCCTATGACTCCGTAGAAGAAAAAGGAAAAAAAATATATGACTCCTAAAAATAATAATAATAATGTTGAGAAAATGTAAGAAGAAATACAGCGGCTTCCTCGTCCATCCACTCACTGGTTTCCCTTAGATACAAGAAGGCCTTTAATATCAAACATCTCGCAAAGAATACTTCCCTTTTTTCCCAAAGGAGGTGCATGAAAAACGTAGCGAAAAAGAAAACACATAGCAATAAAACGATAGAATTTGATACTCCGCGAACCATTAACGAAACATAAGACCACGAAGGTATTTTGAAAGTTGTAAATGTCCGTCAAATTCGACAAGAGAGGAAAAAATGCCTTTACGCGTCTACAAACAGATCTTAATGTAGCACAAGTCAGCGCTGTGAGAGGCGACGTGGCCAGGCAACTCCAGGAGCCGAGATCACTTTCAAAAAGAGTATTCGGTAAACATAATGATGTGAATCGATCAATCAAAATGATGGGGAGATGTGTCAGTGACGTTTAATCATCTCTTTTCTCTGAGAAGGAATTTGATTGTGGCCGTATGCCTTTTATAGAACGTAATGCATATATAAAAGAGGATATCTTATCTATTTTTTCCCTTGATACTTGTTTTTATTCGGTGTTGTTATGGCCATGGCGTATTTAGCTTCTATCGCCGAGTGTCATAACTATTCTAACTTAATTTCGCATCAATGAACTTGCTATCAGAGTACAGTTGCTTGCTCTTACTATTCGATCCATGGCTTCACAGTCATATAAAACTTCTGATATATATACATTGTGTAAATCCTATTTTTTCTTATTTTTCCTCACCTGTTTCTGTATTTATGGTCATTACCGTCATCATAACCACAATCATTATTATCAACATCACCATTACCGTATTTTTTTCTCCACAAAACATAACAAAACACTCTGTTTAATATATACACACAGTCAAATCAAGCAACGGTTGTAAACACGCCATTACCAACGTAAATGTGAAATATAAGGTACTCGAGACAAGCAAGAGACTGACAGCACAGCAGCGTAAGGGATCTGACCCAATGTCGTAGATTCATAAACGTAAGAACAAATGTCAGCCTTAGGATTAGGTTTAGCAAGAAAAACAAAGAAGCCTAAATGTTTAAAAGGTCATGACACACTTACACGAACAGGGAAAAGGGCAAGAGCTATGTTTCGTAGAAAATAAAAATAAAAATCTTATGGGAAAATAAGCAAAGGAGCAGAGAAGGGGGAGGGGGGGAGGGGAGGTGAGGTCAACAGTCAGAAGTCATTCTCTCAAATAAGTGCTGATGCGATTTTGTTTTCACTTAAATGCTTATGTATACCGGATCTTCTTTTCTTCTCGAACCAGTCCATGATACTGATGAAACACAGTTAAAAACGTATCTAGTGTATGGAAACTTTAGTGAATCTGCCAAGTTGTGTTAGACTGATTTGCTGAATAACAGACAGGTACCGATACGAACATTTATATTTATACATATTTTATGATAATGAGATTGTTCCTATTATGCGATACTAGATTGTATATTCATACACACATATTTGCACACATAGGCAAAACACAATCAAACCCCACTACGCACCCCCCCCCCCTCTACACACACTCAAAAGCACAAGCTCTCTGCCTCCCGTCCTCTCAACCTCTGCCGCCCCCCTGCAGGTCCCTGGGAACACGAGCCGTGATGGACCACACGAGGATCTGCCGCAAGAGAGGCTCCCGCGTCTCGAAGGATCCCCAGAGCACCATCTGCAGGAAGGAGCCCAGGACGTTCCAGATGATCCTCGACGGCTCCCAGATGGCCATGAAGGAGTGCCAGTACCAGTTCCGCTTCCACAGGTGGAACTGCACCGATAACAGGAGGTCCCTCAAGAAGGTCCTCATGAGGGGTGAGCCTTTCCGATGCTTTCCGATCGTCGCTTCCGTTGCTGTTGTTGTATTACAGTTATCTGTGTGTGTCTTCGTGTGTGTGTGTGTGTGTGTGTGTGTGTGTGTGTGTGTGTGTGTGTGTGTGTGTGTGCGTGCATGTGTGTGTATGTGTGTGTGTGTGTGTGTGTGTGTGTGTGTGGAGGAGAATGAGAAGAAGGAGGAAGAAGAGGAAGAGAAGGAGAAAAAGTAGAAGGAGAGGGAGAAGGAAAAGGAGAAGAAGAAGAAGAAGAAGAAGAGAGAGAGAGAGAGAGAGAGAGAGAGAGAGAGAGAGAGAGAGAGAGAGAGAGAGAGAGAGAGAGTCAGACAGACAGGCAAACAGACAGAGACATAGTTTTTAAAAATATACAGAAAAGAGACTCTCACTACTTACAAAAATATCCATCTCACCCCCCTCCTTCCCCTCCCCCCAGACACGCCCGAGACGGCCTTCCTGAACGCTGTCATGTCCGCTGGCGTGACCCACGAGGTGACGGCGGCCTGCTCGAGGGGCGACCTGCTCCAGTGCTCCTGCAGCAGGGACAACTCAGACGCCGCCACCAACCAGGACTCGAATGGTATGTGATGACATGTTCTCGTCGAAGTGAGACTTCTGCTCTGTGGGGCGTTTCATTCCTCTCTATTCTGTGGGCGTGGGAAGTGTGTTTAAGAGAGCATTTCATTTGAAACATATAAAGATGATAGTAGAAGCATAGATGGTAGATATGATATATGCAAACATATACAGTACACATACAGACGCTCGCGCGCGCATTCACATATGATGTATGTATACATGTAAGTCCACGGTGTAGGCCTGGAAACTAATGCGCCCGATTCCATTCAAGAGGAGAAAAGGAACACGAAGGCCGAGCGGCGCAGGAGCAAGTCCGACAGGAGAAAAGACCCCTCGAGGAGGCGCAAGGGCCGGCCGCGAGGGGACCGCCGGCGAGGCCGACGGGGGAAGGGCAAGCGGGGCGACAGGGCGCGGCGAGGGCCCGGCAGAGGGAGGCGCCGCGAGGGGGCCGAGAACGCCAGCAACGCCTCCTTCGTCGACCCGGAGAGCAGGGCCGGCGGCGAGCCTTTGGCGACGACGGAGGTGGAGCCTCCGGTGGGCGAGGCAGCGCCAGGGGCCGGTGCGCCGCCGGAAGGGGAGTGGAAGTGGAGTGGCTGTGACGACAACGTCGGTTTCGGGTACAGGATCGCCAGGGACTTCATGGACTGGCGCTACCTGCGGGGGCCCGGCAGCCAGGACATCCGCTCCATCGTGATGCTCCACAACAACGAGGTCGGGCGGCTG